TTATTTCCACAGGATAAATTGATGACTGTCCCCTCTGATTCCTTAAGTGGACCAAGTGGTTGGCTGTTCAGAAATAAGGATCATGGAAAAGCCAGTGCAGTTGCAAGTTTGGTATTATATGCTCTTTCGTATTTTAAAACTAGTTTTCTACATTTTAATATTTTATGTGAAACTTGAGTTTTTGTTACCTCTTGTAGGGGATGATTTTGTTGTGGGATGTTGACTCTGGTCTAGTACAACTCGACAAGTTTCTTCACAGCAATGATAATCATGTTGTTGCGGGAGCTTTGCTTGGTGTTGGCATTGTCAACTGTGGCATCAGAAATGATTGTGATCCTGTATGGTGTTTTCAAATGAGCGATGCTCTTTTATAACTTATTCTCTCTAATGTCTTCTATTACTATCATTATGCTCAATGCAATATATTCTTTCTTGGATCTTAACGTACATTAACATTATTTTGCCATATGCACCCATTTTCAATTGCTTCTTGTTTATCAACTATGCTTTGCAGGCATTAGCCCTTTTAGGCGATTTCATTGAAAAAGATGATACAATTATCAGAATTGGGGCAATTTTGGGTCTTGGCATTGCATATGCCGGGACAAACAAAGATGACGTAGAATTCCTTGGCATCTCCTATAAAATTATATTTATTTATTTTTATTATTTTTGCCCTTGTTGATCTGTTTCCTCTTTGCCAGCTAAGAGTCCGCCTTACTAGCATTCTGGGAGATTCAAAGTCACCCCTGGAGGTCCTTGTATTTTCTGCCATTACATTGGGGCTTGTCCATGTTGGTTCCTGCAATGAAGATATTGCTCAAACAATCATTTTGGCAATAATGGAGCGCAGTGAAACTGAATTGGGTGAACCCCTTACTCGCTTGCTTCCTGTAGCTCTTGGTCTTCTATACCTTGGCAAGCAGGTAACCTAATGGAATGCTATCTGTAGTTGTAACATTTGCTTTAGTTGGAGTCGGTTGTGTTTTCTTGTTAGGGAATCGAGAGGAAGAAATTTTAAAATAGGTGAAAAATCTAAGATAAATTGTTCCAAATTCACAATCAAAGCATAAATTGGATGAACTTTTAATGTTGTGATTCATTGGCACTATTTATTTTAAAAAAGGATGTCTATGACGTACAGTTTGGCTAGGCTTGCTGCTTTTTGCTACTGCAGGATGTGCTTGACATGCT